AATAAATAAATAAATAAATAAATAAATAAATACGTAAATAATAAATAAAAAACAAATAAATATTTAATTAATTAATTTAAAATGGTTTTGTGGGTGTAGATGCGAAAGAGCCAAGTCAGCGGGAAGGCAGGAGCCCCAGCAGCAGCAGCAGCAGCAGCTAGCTAGCCAGTAGCTAGCTAGCCACCTAGCTAGCTAGCTAGCTGGCTAGCTAGCTGTTGGCTATCTATCCAGCTACCTGGCTAGCTAGCTAGCTAACTATTTGGCTAGCCAGCCACACAGCTAGCTAGCTCGCCGCGCAGCTAGCTAGCTAGCTAGCTAGCTAGCTAGCTAGCCAGTCAAATAGCTTCCTAGCTAGCCAGCGAGCTAGCTAGCTAGCTAGCTAGCTAGCTAGCTAGCTGCAGCCTCACCCATTTGGAGGCTGCATGCAGCAGCAGCAAGTGCTGCTGGTCTGCAACAAAACCCAAAAATGGAGTAGCAGCAGCAAAGAGCGGCAGCAAAGTGCAGTCCAGCGCGCACAGCAGCGCGGAGAAGTTGCTCCACTCCGAAAGGCCCCACCTGCACAAACCCTAAACCCTAAACCCTAAACCCTAAACCCTAAACCCTAAACCCTAAACCCTAAACCCTGGCCCTGGCGTGGCCCTGGCCCTGGGCCGCAACGCGTGGGGCGGGATGCAGCCCAAAGCAGCGGGGCCAAACCCGCGGCTTCCAAACCCTAAACCCTAAACCCTAAACCCTAAACCTTGGGAAGTCAGTGGCGCGGCTGAACGCTAAACCCTAAACCCTAAACCCCCTTACTTCGTGAAGTTCAAAGTGGCGTGGTGGGCGTGCTGGAAGCCACAGACACAGCGCAGCAGCAGAAAACCCTAAACCCTAAACCCTAAACCCTAAACCCTAATGCTACTTTGCAGCTGCAGCAAAAGACAAGGAGACTCAGGGTTTAGGGTTTAGGGTTTAGGGAATTCTACCTTGTGACGCCCCTCTTCATACATTTTCCTTTGCTGCTTCATTTTTGCTGCAGAGGGTTCGCCGCTGCTGCTCCCGTTGCAGCAGTTCCTGCTGCTGCTGCTCGTGCTGCTGCGGTCGCCCTCGCTGCTGCTGCTGCTGCTGCTACTGCTGCTGTTAGTGCTGCTGTCGCTGCTGTTGCTGCTGCTGGCTTCTGGAGGCCGGCGGGCCTCCTGAAGGCTGCGGACGTGCAAAAGCAGTAGACACTGCTGCTGCTGCTGCTGCTGCTGCTGCGGCTGCAGCAACGGTGAGACCGCGGGAAGCAGCAGCAGCTGCTGCTGCCGCCTCTGGAGGAAGCAGGCCCTAGGGAAGGTGCGAGAAGCAGTAAAGGGGAAAGCAGCAGCAGCAGCAGCAGCAGGAGAATGACCAGTGGTCACTGCAGCAGGAGCAGCAGCTGCTGTTGAGGGGGGAGCAGCAGCAGCAGCAGCAGCAAGGGGTTTCAGAGAGCAACAGCAAAGCGGAATGTGTAGCCTGCGGTGTACGAACACCCGGAGCATCTGGAAGCAGCTCTAAACCCTGAACCGTAAACCCTCGAATGTCAGTTAGCCCTAAACCCTAAACCCTAAACCCCAAACCCTAAACACTCGCTCCTCCCCTCAGACAAGAAGTGTAAGCTCCCTTTTTGACAAAATTATAAAGACACCAAATGAAGTGTTTCATCTCGCACACCCAAACCCTAAACCCTAAACCCTAAACCCTGGACCCCCGTCGAACGGTGACTCGGCTGCAGCCCCAACGCGCGCACACCCTATCCCTAAACCCTAAACCGTAGACGCTAAACCCTAAACCCTAAACCCTAAACCCTAGCTGAGGACCAGCAAACTATTTTTGTTCTGCAGTTTTATAAAGCAGCATGTGCAGAGCAGCGCGCTTTCCTTTCCCGGCACTAGGGTTTAGGGTTTAGGGTTTAGGGTTTTCGGCCGGGTCTCCCCCGGAAGAGCAGCCGCAAGACCGGAGTTCCGGCGTCTTAGGGTTTCGGCTTTTCAAAGCCAGGCCTAGGGTTT